TGACTATTTCAGATCATGATCTAACCTAAGCTTGCTCTGGTACCACTTTTGTTATGACCCGGTCTGGTAGCGTAGAATTGACTGTCAGGAACTGCGGTTGGACTGTGAAAACATTTAAATAAATATCCACAGATTTATAAAATCTTACAATATATGAAAGAGCTACCAAAATCCATAATGCAACAAAATCAAAACTTCTAAAAATAACAACATAATCTGAAGGCCACATCTCAAACTGGTATTGAATAACATCACTATCTAAAAGAAATAATACAAAGAAACTATCATCATAAATACTTAGCAGCAGTGGTCATCTTCCAACAAACCAAGTCTCTCTTATCAGACATATTAACCAATAACTTTTCTTTTCTTGAAAGAGAACAAAATTCAACAGTAAGTTTAACTTAGTGAACAATTATAATCTTAATATACATTGAATTGTTATGTTATGTACGAATGACAGAAAGAAAATGCAATTCATTACCTTATAAAATTTTAAATTTTCACTTTAAATTTATACCTTTTTGTTTTAGTTTAAGTCTTTACTCTTTTTAACATTTTAAAGATTCATAATAATATTACCACCATACTCGAAAATATCCTAAAAAATGTAATCAAAGGTATCTAAAAAATATACTCGAAGATACCTCATCCGAAGATACACTTTTACTTTAACGTGTACGGGTACATTGCATCTTCTACTAGTACCACCTTGAGATCATTTTGTATAACTTAAACTTTTACATTTCATTTTTGTTTAAATTTACCTCTTTTTAAAAATATTGATCATTTATTTTTTCCTTTTTTTCCCATTTCATCTCCTCAAAAATTTAAGCTCATAAAATGTATATAATTATAAAATGATTGTTTAATGCACTGCAGAAATTCTTTATTAAATAAACATTATTTTAATATATATAAGAAAATAAAAATTCACATGCTTAGCTGTTTTTCACACGGATTCCCTAACCTCTGATCTTCCAGGCTCAAATATTCTTTAACATAAATTATTGTTAAACATTAATATTTTGTTAAATATTAATTCTAAATTATGTAGATTAAAATTTAATTTTTTAATTAAAGCATTTTTTATTTTTTACAATGATTTGTCTCTCGATCTTGAAGTTGAATCTTCTTCAATTTTTTCTTGATCTAAGTGCATTTATGATTAACATTAAATTAATAATCTTATATATATATATATATATATATTATAATATAATAGAAGAACGCTCCTTGATGAAGAAGCACAAAATAGAACAAAAAAATTCACAAGAGTATTACCTTTTTCTTCTTCCTCCCTTCAGTCTAGGCTCGGCTAAGAGAAATTCCTCTTCTAGCATGAGAGATGTAAATTCCATTTTCCTTCTCCTTTGCACCAACAACACCCTTCCTCTTGAAACACATGCACAGGAATCCTTTTACGCTGCCGCCTCCTTTACACACGATGCAGTCTTGACTCACCGTATGTACAAACCTTTTCCTCTTTCGGCTTCTTCTTCTTCTTCAATCTTCCTTCTTTCTCTGTAAGAGCACAACGTCAAAGCAACCATGAGTAAGGCTTGACTTCCTCTTCGCTTACACAAAATCTTACGCCCTTTAACTCTTCAACACGGCTTGATCTCACGGTCTTCCTTCTTTCTCTGTAAGAGCACAGCGTCAAAGCAACCATGAGTAAGGCTCGACTTCCTCTTCGCTTACACAAAATCCTACGCCCTTTAACTCTTCAACACGGCTTGATCTCACACCGCAAGCCCTCGACGATGCTTTCCTTCGACTTGAAATCGGTGTTGAAACAAGTAAGAGGCACTCACTGCTCTTTTGTTTCTTCTTTTTTTTTTCTCATTCACTGTCGTTACTCCTGCAGTTTCTTCTTCTCTCTTGCTTTCTTTGCCCTCCCCCTTGATTTAGTTATAATTATATTTTATTTATTAATAGTATTATTCTCTTATTTTAGTTATTACTTTTTTGAGTAGCGTCGAAGATGAAAAGGGCGGAGGACTTCGTGCAGACGAAGAGGAATCCATGCCCTACTCATGGCAGCTTCGACACCGTGCTCTTGCAGAGGAAGAAGAAAGACCAAAGGAGAAGAAGACGAAAAAGGAAAAGGCTCGTATATACAATGAGTCGAGACTGTCTTCCTGTGCAGGTGTTGCGAGAGGAAGGGTGTTGTTGGTACAAAGTAAAAGGAGAAGGGAGGTCGGTCTCTCTGCGAGAAGAGGAATTCCTCTGGGTCGAGTCTAGACAAAATGAAGGAAGAAGGTGATATTCGACTCTATCGAGAGAAGGGGAGCTTTCGTGTGTGTCAGGGCAACCAAACAAATAGTATATAAAGTAAAATTTCTTAGATTATAATTTCAAATAAAAGCAAATGTCATTTTATTGTTGGAAAGCAGTTTAAAACAGGCTTAACACACTGGATGACACAATGCACTACTTTCTCTTTAACAAATCTGCCACTAATGTACCTGGGAGTGAACCTAATAAGGGGGAGAAGAAGGCAAATTCAGTTGGATGATGTAGTGGATAAAATTAAAAAAAAGAATAGCTGACTGGAAAAATCACTTTCTATCCTATGAGGGGAGAATCACCTTGCTTAAAAGCGTGCTTAACTCTATTCCTATATATGCTTTACAGGACTTAAACTGAAAAAACAGTACTCAATGAGTATTGGAAAGTGCTTCAATAAGTTTTTTGTGGGTCGGGGGGGATATCAAATAAGCGCTGGTTGGGTTGGAAAGCAATGTGCAAACCATTGGAGACAGAGGGTTTGGGATTTAGAGAGCTCCATCACATGATATAAATAAATTACATAAATTTGTGGTTAAAATTAAGCAGGGGGGAGTGTCTACGGGCATCATTTATGAAGTTGAAATATTGTAAGATTTATCATCCCACTTGCGTGAATTGGAGAGTGGGTAACTCAAAAATCTGGAAAGCTATGGTGAAGGTTAGACATATGGCTGAAAATTATATTTATTGGGATATTGGAGATGAACAAATTTTATTTTGGAAGGACAGCTAGGCTTTGCAGGGCCTACAATATTAGATAAATAGGAACACAATGGATATGAGGGTGGCTGATTTTTGGCTGGATGGTGCATGGAACTTCCCTATGTTGAAAGATAACTTAGGGGAGGTAAATGCACTGTACATCTCCAACATTCAGATAATAAGAGGGAAAAAAGATGCTTTAATGTTTAAATTGCCTAATGACAAATCTGTTGCTAAAAGTATCTATCAGGATCTTCATCTCCATAATCAGGTTAGGTGAGGAAAACTTATTTGGGGTAAGGTGCTTAGTCCTTCTTTGTCATTCTTTATGTGGAGGCATTTTCACAAATTATTGTCTTATGATAATATTTTAAAGCTCAAAGGATTGTGGTTTGCTTCACAATACTTGTTATGTAGAAAGGAGGAGGAATTTACTTTAGACATCTACTTTAACTGTCCCTTTGCTATAGCTTTTTGGAAAAGGCTGGGTGAGCACTTTCACATCTATATATTCTTCATGCTTGGGCAGATTTGGATGACTGTTGCTCATTCTGGAATCTTGAGGGTAAACAAAATCATTTCTTAGCTTATTTTCCTTACATTGCCATGTGGTTACTGTGGATGGCCAGGAACAACTTTAAACATTTGGATGGAGTGTCGGTGCATCAGGTGGTGGATTTGGATGACTGTCGCTGGATAAATTGAAATAAATCCAATTAAAAGCCGTTAATGGGAATGGTTAAGTGTAGACTCGAACTACTAACCTTTGATCTAGGCTGTTGGCAGCATCGCATTTATTTTCTTAATATCTTATAGCAGAGTCTGAATAATCTAGCTTTGTCTCATATCTCAACTACAATAATCTTTGTTGGACGCTAAATGTCACATTTTAACTTATTTTGTTTTTTCCGTTGTCTTTTTTTTTTTTCTTTTATGGGTGTTACTTATGTATAAACTTTTTATGTGAACTATTAAAGTGTTTAGTTAATTCCGGCTGCTTTTTCATTTGAATTAGAGGTTCTATCAGTTTGGCAACTCTTTGTTTATCCTAAAGAAGGATATTTTAAGGATTGGCTAGGGTGGAGATATGGTGGACTGAACCAAAAAAAAAAAAAAAGGCTTAGGTCTTGCCAGTGATGCAAAAAGGGAGTTTTCTCAAGGTTTGAGAATGAGCGGAAGAATTCACTACAAATGAAGTTAATTATGACTTGGAGGACGAGGCATAATAGACATAAAATAGAAAAATAACAGAAAAATGGCACAGAGTGAATGATTCGGTTATAATCTATATCTTATTATTATTTTCACTGTGTAGTTACAAGATAAACCTTTACTATGGGGGAGAGGTTGAGAGAGATAGCTGACGAGATAGGGAAGAGATCTGAGAAAGGAAGTGATGCTCGAGGTCTCCTGAGGTTAATGCTTCCAGGAAACTATGGCTTGTCTGGTGTCCAACAACAAAATGTTGCTAATCAACCTCTTAGCCAAGTTTCCTCTATTACCTAATAATGATTGTCTCTACCAACAAAGTTGACCTTTTTACCATACTCCCAAGAGTGAGAATTATCTTTGGAGGGCAAGAAGAAATCTCTGGAGAATGGGAATGATCTTCTTGAGAATGAGGAGGTTTAGAATGCTTGTCAAGCTAATGGCTGCTGTCTTGTTCCGTGTAGGACTATGATTAAGTCATTTAGAGGGCAAAAATTTGAGAAGTATACATGCATAATGTAGGCAAAAAAATAAATCATGCAGATATAGAACAGCTAGAAGAAAATTTTCTAAACCTTCTTGCGTTAAAAGCTTTTGTTGTGCTTGTGATTTGATTAGTTTGTGGAGAACCCATTCTGTTCAAGGGAATAATGAGCTACATAAATCCTTATTTAATTTTGGTCTATATTTATCCAAGTCCTCTTGGATATGTTAATTCTGGAAAGGAAGCAAGTACCTTTATCCTGTAATTATTAATTGAGTGCTTTTTATTGTTGTTCATTTGTCATTGCCTGCAGGTTAGAAGCATTTGGGATGCTTACATCAAACCTGGAGGAAGGTATGTACATTTTCTTGTTTATTCACGTAATGCTGAGTTGGTACTAAGAAAATGTGCTTACGAGACCAGAGGATGACTATAGAAACCAGATAACACAAGCTGTTCTCATGTCATACACATGATTTAAAAGAAAACTAAAAGCTAAATCCGTAAAATATTGAATAAAATATCCTTTTGGAAAGCAAATACTAAGATTGCTTATTTTCTCTTTTAAATGCGCACAAATTTTGTTTCTATGAATGTTAACTTTGAGACTTGTATCTCTCATCGTTGCCATAGAATGCTTATGTTTGGTCTTCATAGTGAGATCATTTTGGTTGCAGTAGTTCTGTATAGATTTTTTCTACCATTGTTCTTGTTAATGCATATCCTTCGAACTACCTAATCTTTCAGATTTACATACATAGTAATTTGTTGCTTTAAACTTATGCACGAAAAATGTATATTTCGCTTCTATTATAAAGTGGTAATAGTACTATCTTTGTTGTGATATTAAAGATTTGAGTGCTGTGTGTAGCTATGAAAGTTTAGGTGTGAGATATGTAAATACATAAGAATTGTGTGCTGTGTATGTAAATGCGCCTTTATTTATTTGATGATGTTGTTGTCCTGAATGCAGTCGGATACCTGGCCACTGGGTACAGCCACCGCCACCTGCTGATGAGGTCTGGGCATCCTATCTTGTTAGCACCATGAATCGCTGAAAGCAAACCGACGCAACTGCTTCCTTCAGGTGTTAATATTTTCTTGCTTTATGGCTTGGTTTGCAGTTTAGTTCCGCTTTTTATCCTCAGAGCTTATTAATAAGTTGATGAACAATGCACCAATGCATGAAAGAACTCTTGCATCGAAACTTAAATGCTTGTAATGGTGAGAGATTGGACTTTAACCATACATCTACAATGCATTAATGATATTAACCTAGTCCTGGAGGTGTGAATCCAAGGTTTTTAATTGCTGTGGTGGGTGGCTAAGGATGTGTGGATTACCTCTAGGTAAGTGAACGATTTTTATGGGGTATTAAACCAATGGAAGGGGGTTGGCTAAAGGCTTGGGTTAAATTGGTCTTAGGATGACCCCTCAAAATCTTATCTTTAGGGTTTTGACATAGAGGGAGGTTTAGGTTTTGGATTCTTTTGGACGTTATTATATGAGAAGATTAGGAGAAATGTTGTAACGTTCGGTTTTAAAGCTCGTTGTAATGCTAGCATTACACTTGTGGGGGAGAGAGTGAGGAGAAGCGAGTTAAGTAGGAATGGAGAGGAAGTCAGACGAGTGTTTCCTTGAGAGTTTTTTTGGATTTCGAAACCTAGTGTGAGAGGGAGATGGAGAGCAAGAATCCAGGTGAGTTTTGTTTTTTGAGCATCGCAGGCATTGAATGAGGGCGGCGATGCTAGCAATCGAGCCAAGAACATCGGAGCTGGCGAAGATGAAAAGGTTGTATTGGGGCAGGCATCTTGTGATCTAGGCTGTCGTGAGCTTGATCGGGATATAAATTTGAGCGACCAGCAAGCGAGCGAGCTAGAGCTGGTTGTTGGTGCGATCGATCGAGACAAGACGAAGGAAAAGAGTCTCGTGTAACTTACGAATAAGATTTGGAGCTTTGTGTGAATTGCACCTGAACTAAACCGTGTGGGCTGTATAGCTTCAATCGAGACAGTGACGGGCAGCTTCAAAGTCCTTTTGCATTAAAAAATAGAAGTTAGGATTTTTGTTTAAATTTTTTTAAGAAGAAAATGCAAATACTATTTAACTAATGATTATGTATATATTGAATGTGAGTTATATAGAAATAGGAGAGAGAATTGATTGTCGATTATTCAAATATTGGACAAAATAAGTGTGAGTTTTAAATAATGTATTGACTTAATTATTTATAGAAATATTTAATCATTCATTTCATTATTTTCAAATGAAAAAGAAATTATAGTTAACCTAAAGTCTTATTAAAAAATTTTGTATTTTAAAGGATAAAAAAATTTAGTTTAGATAATGTATATAAAGTTATCTTATTAATTAATGAATGAGATAATGTATATAAAATTATCGTATTAGATAATGTATACATTCTCTTATTAATTAATGAATGAGTAATTTTAAGCAATATTAGTTGATAAATTTAGCCTTGAAAGGTAAAAAGAAATAAATTAGAAAGTTAAGTTGGCATTAAATTATTAGAAAAAAATTAGCATAAATATTAAAAAAAAGGAATAAAATATTGAGAATATATGTCTAAGTGAAATAAAATTATAAATATAAAATAAGGAGAAAATATCAAAATAAGTATATTTGTATGTTCAATAAAATATTTAGAACTTTATTGACATAAAATAATAATGGAAATAAAATAAATTAAATATATAATTATTACATATATAAATAGAAAGAAATTTAATATCTAACTATGTAAAGTCATATGATTAAAATTTACTTAAGGCAACAGGATTAAACTTAATATTGAAGGATTAAAATCTAATTAAAAATGTTGTAATGTGAAAATAATATTAATAATGCTTCAAAAAATTAGTAATATGGATATTTTTTAAGGAGTAACAACATGAAGAGTTAAAAGGTGAAAAATATTGAGGTGGATAATTATTTTTCTAAATAACAATAATATTTATTTTACTTTTAAATGAATTCCCAATTTCAATTATTTTCCATATCAGTGAGTTTTAAACTAGTATTAAACTTTTCATGTTGTTAGGAATGAGATGCATAATTTAACATTTTAGTAAAAGTAGGCACACAATAATTTTTTTTCTAGAAATACATCAGATTATTACATATCTTTAGATTATGTTAGAACTTATATTTAGAATTACAAAATAAATATATCAAACTATAATAATTGTTCGATATGTGTGCAATGAAAAATGCGAACACTACAACATAGTTGTACTCGAGAAATGTTGATGCATAATCATGCATGACATGATTGTACAGAAAAAAAATAAAATTTTTATGATAAACATGATGTTTGCAACCACAAAATAAGGATGTCAAGAAAAAACAAATATTTATAATGTGTGTGCAGTGAAAAATACAAATAATGTAGCATGATCGTTATTGTGAAATGTTGAAGATAACCAGGTACAAATATAGTTATACAAAAGAACTGTGCACCCAGATAAAAACCTTAAAGAACTTATATTTAGAACAACAAAATAAATAAATCAAGCTATAACAGTTCAGAATGTATGTAATGAAAAATACGACCACTTTAACATGGTTGATATCGAGATAAGATGTAAAACCATGTACAACATGGTTGTACTCAAGAAAATCTGACGTATAACTATGCATGGATTAATTATACAGAAAGTATATGCAAAAAAAAATCAATTATAAATAGCTAATATTTGTAACAACGACATAATGAAGTGAATTTGCAAAAAATATTTAAAATGTGAGCAAAGAAAAATGCCAGTAAAAATAATTGCTTGCAAGAAAAACTGAAATAGAATCCTGTTGCACAGAAGAAAAATGCATAAAAAGAAGTACTAAAAAAGGTACCATCATGACTGCACAGTAGAAAAATGCTACCAAAAAAAAAAAAAAAACTCTTTTAAAAAAGAATGACTGAAGGGATGTTTGCACTCATATGTGGCAATACTTGAGAAAAAAAGAGAGATGAGTCAATTAGCTATCGTATGTTGTATATTGAAACTAGTCTCTTCTTTGTTGCGAGCAAATTGATTTGTAAATTGAGTACTGGGAGATGCGTGGAATCCTAAAATGAATGTTGATTGACGCAGAGAAGAAGAAACCAAAGTGAATTCCAAGAATGAGAAGAAAATGACGAACCCTAATTTCAGGAGCAAAGAGGAATATCGAGCGGCTGGGAGAAAATGACGAACCCTAAACCCTAAAATTGGAATAAGAACTTCAAACACTTACTGTAGAATTTGAAATGTCAAAACCTCATATACTTTGTACATTTATGTTTAATGTTACCAGTATTATGTAGTTTAATATTTTTTAAATACTGAACATGTGTCAGTTTGGGATTGGTTTCCGAATATAACTCTACATCCGATCTCTGCACATAATATTTCCTTCTCCATTTGAGCTATTTTCATTTTTTCTAACTTGTGCAGGCAAATGGATTTCTTACTAGAGAAGAGGAAAATGACAAAAGCAGGCAAAATAGGTGCTTTTAACTGGAGATGCAGTCTCCAAGTTTCCGGTGCTGTTCTAATGAAGACACTAAATATGGGAATGAATTTTGAATGGAGTGATGAACCGCGGGAGCCGGCAACACTAGCAAAGAATTTCATCAGCAACCATTTTTTGGTTCTGCAATTAGTCTGCTTCAAGAAAGATGGGGAGCTCAGGTAGTTGGACTTATGAAGGGTGGTAGCCTGAGACTTTACATACCAATTAATTTCAATGTATTTACATATCTAACACCTAAACTTCAATTTTTAATTATACATGCCACTTTATTTATGCATTAGAAAATGCATAGGTAAATACATAAGAACTGGGTGGTATGCATCTAAATGTGCCCTTTTTTTAATTGATATGAAATCATCAACTTCTTTTATATTTATGAAAAAATGTACAATCTTGAACTTGATTAGCTTTTTTATTGGTGGGTGAATTTGGATTGGATTGAGACTCGGGATGTCAACTCAAGTGCTTGAGATATTATTATTATTATTATTATTATTTTAGATACGAGCGTATGAGTTTTGAATTTGTGATGCAGTGTTAGTTTTTTAGTGCGCGGTAGGTAATTTGGGGCAAAAAATATTCCGTTCGCACTTCCGGATAGTTAACCACCGACCGTCACATCATCTTTTCCATCCCTTCAAATGCTTGATCGTATAATAAAGTAATAATTAAAAGATATAATTTATGACTTCTTGGGGCTACTTTTTTTATTTTATAAAACCTATTTATTTAGTGTATTTCTTATGTTTTTTTTTAAATAATTAATTTTTTTTAAATGCTCAGAATAAGTGATTTATTTTGAGTATTTTAAAAATAATTAAATATAATATAACATGATAAACCTATTTTATTTCAAGCATAAAGACAAAGTGTAAAAAATAAACAAAGAAATAAAAAAAAAAGTTATCCTAAATAAACAAATACTTACACTAGGTCGATTTTTGGTATCATGGAGTTGAACATTTTGTGCTGACACTGTATAAGAAAAATGATGACCTAAATTAAATGCATTTGATTGAGATTTGAGCAATGTGTCACATCATTTTAAATGCCGGCTCTTGCAATGGAAAAAATATTACATCGGTACTATGCATGTAGAGTAACGTGCGTAATCAATGAAATTACGTCACGACATCTCGCATGATCGAGAAAAAAATGCCGCAGTAACATGAGGAATATTCTCCCCCCCTGTGTTATTCGTGTGTTATTGTGTACTGAGAATATTTCTAGTATTGTAATAACATAATAACACATCAATAATACATGAATGAGTAACGTGCGTAATCAATGAAATTACGTCACGACATCTCGCATGATTGAGAAAAAAATGCCGCAGTAACATGGGGAATATTCTCCCCCCCTGTGTTATTCGTGTGTTATTGTGTACTGAGAATATTTCTAGTATTGTAATAACATAATAACACATCAATAATACATGAATAACACATGAATAACACACAATAACACATAAATAACACGGGGGAGAATATTCCCCCGTGTTACTGCGCGGGGGAATATTCTCCCCCGTGTTATTTATGTGTTATTGTGTGTTATTCATGTGTTATTGTGTCCTGAGAATATTCTTGGTGTTATAATAACACAATAACACATGAATAACACGCAATAACACATGAATAACACAGTGGAGAATATTCCCCGTGTTACTGTCCCGTTTTTTTTCTTGTCGTGGCGTGATTTCATGCGCTACGCACGTTACTTTTACGTGCGTAATACTGATGTAATATTTTTTCCTTGCAATGCCCATGTAATCCTTTTTAGACTTTGTGATTAGATGCATATGACCTACGTCATGTGCAGTGCGGCGTCATTTTAAATTTGTGAGTTGTGCTCCATTTCTCAGATCTATGACTTTGGATGCATCGATATAAAAATATGAACATGGAAAACTATGTGACACGTGGTATTAGACCATTTCAATTGATGACATAAATAAGAAATTAAGATTGATGCAGGCAAGTGAATATGAAAAATGACATGGCTAAAAGTTTATTGCAAATTGTTTCATGCAAAATAAAATTAGGTACTTGTGCATGCAGCACTCAACCGAATGATAAAGAGAACTCATGAAGCTCGTCCAAGTACTTGGTTAAAACTAAATGACAATGAGAAGATCTGCCTGACAACTTCTGCTAGCAACATTTTGCTGCTCATTCCCTGTTGCCCTCGAGATATTTAATAGTCTGTAAGTATATTCTTTATTATTGTGATTGCTTCTAAAATTTTTATAAAAGCTTGAATATATATATATATATATATATAGTTGAAAAAACAAAAAAAAAAGAAGGAATTGTCAGAGGCTATTATACGAGTCTCTAAGTCACCCCTAATGTGCCAAATGATTCGACTACCACCCCCTCAAAGCCAAACTTTACCAGAGGTTATTCAACCCCCCGACCTGAAGAGTCTTATACCGTTGATGTCAACTAACAGGTCGGGATACGTGCCAACACACAAACAAACACACACAGATATATATATATATATAACATTTATTATTTTAGTTGATATTCTTTCCACATAAAAACATAAAAAAAGGGTTATATTAAGCATACATAGCTATACATATATTTGACTCGAGTAGTGTTTTTTTAAGTTTGCATGGGTCATTGTGGCTGTCACCACGCACCAACTATTTATAATGTTTATATGCTGCCCCCCTTCTATGCAAGTCGCAATAGTGCTTTTTAGTTGTTTAAATGCACACACACCTAACTTCAATTAATTTTTTTATTTTTTTTAAACAATATTTATACTAGAACTTAATTAATTTCATCAAACTCAAATAAAATTTATTAAACCTAAATCAAATTCACTTGTTGAATCCTAAATTGTTTTCTGGAAATACACGCCCCGAGAGTTAGAGCTCAAAAGAGAAAAAAGAGAGACAATATAGAGAGAGTGAGAGACAGAGAGTAGAAACTTGTTTTTTATTTATATTCTGACCTCTTACTTATAGGGGTCTAAAAGTTATAGTAACAAAAGAGAGGGAACAATTATAATTACTGCCTAAATAATTGAATCGATGTGTTTGCCGAGTAAAAAATACATTTATAATACAAGTAAAATATAATGTTTTGTCGATCACAAGATGCTTTGGAGTCGATTGATTATACCAGTCAATCGCATGCAATATCATTACAATCGAGGAAATCGGCCGATCAATCATAGGTATTCGTTTGATTTTGGTGAGTGGTCGGCAATCGGTCGACAGTTCTATCGACTATGTCAGACGACTAGGTATGTCGGTCGATTCGTCGGTCGATCCTGTCGTACAGTCGGTCAACTGTTTGTCCAATCTGGATCATGCCTTTTGGCTCAGAACTTCGATCGTTTGAGGCTCCATTCTAGTCGCTTGATCCCTTGAAGATTCGTATTGACATTTTTCTCATATACATATTAGTTTCCCAATTTTCCTTCATAGAGACAACCACAATAAGAACAGAAAAATTATTAGGTAATAAATGACATAGTAAACGAAGAAACTAATTTAATAATTATGTATCCCTTGTGTTATGTGCCCAATTTTCTCTATAAAAAAGGAATGAAAGTTTACATTTTTCATATTTCATTCAATGTCTCTTGGTCTTTCGAGCAACATCAAGGCTGATGGTTCGAGCAAGAAGAACATTGAGGTTCAATTTTGGCTTTGGTAGGCTTTCGTCTTCCTACACCTGGCGCAGTCGAAAGGAAGAAGAAAAAAAATTATAAGGAAAAAAAAACGATGGACAACCGAAGCTGAGTCGATCGACCAAGTTGCTACTTTAGAAGGTTTTAACATTCTGTCACCAAAAAAATCTCTGAAAATGGACCATCGCCAGAAAGCTCTGACTCATGGTCCAAACATGGGCGTGACTGTGGAGGAAAGCCATCGAGTCATCCCACCCGTCAAAAGAACTGAGGGTGGTCAAGGGAGGTTGAAAGAAAAGGTGGTTATTGATTATTCCCCGCCCCCTCTGTTGACTAGGGATGGAGGTCCTCCGGCTCAAGGAACAGAAGAATTCTCCATTACGCTTTTTGAATTAAATACATATTTGGGTATGTGAAAATTTTTTTCTTTGACGGTCTAATTATTCCTTGACATTACTCGTAATGCAGATGAGTCGGCTGCACCGGAGAATTATATTGATGGTAGATCGTCAAAGAATGTCATTATTGATTCTGCACCAATGCTTGCAGCCGAGCCAAAAAATTTGGTCGTTACACCTCTTCAATCGATTGACCAAGGTGTGTGCTGGTCGATCAGACCATTCAACAGTTCCCAGTAAGAGCATTTGGAGGGCCAAAAGCATTCCTTCGTTTCAATGAAGAACCGAATGAGGGAGATGGCCAATCCTTCAACAAAGGTGACCAAAGAGCTTACTGGTGTGCCTATGCAATAGTCGCTAGCTTGTTATGTGAGGTTGGAGGCAGAATTTGTTGCACTTCAAAGCATGTTGAGCAATGTACGGGCTAAGTTAGGGCCTATTTGTGAGTTGACTGTTTTGAGTAAATTCCATCAGCACGTAAACCGAATGGAGCAAATTAGGTTGGCCAGAGAGTTGTCTTCTAAAGAATGCTTCAGTAGGGGAATGCCTCGACTAAAGTGGCAGAAGACTCTTTTATTAAGTTTTTCCTTAAAAAAATGTAATCATTTCATTTGTAATAAAATAATATTTTAATTAATTTGAAATGATATTTGGTGTGGTAGTTATCTATTTAGGGCACTTTAATTTACACGCCCACCCTATAAATAGGGCTTATGACCGCCTTTTACTTTTTTACACACTTGTACCTTCTTTCATTTCCTTCCTTTCTTTCCTTCAATTTCTTTTTGTGCTTTTCTATGTCTGCAATCTCGTGACGACTCCAAAGTATTCTTCTAGTCTCTTCAGAACTTACCCCACCATCGATGCATCTATTATGACCATAACGGACATAAAGGAAATGCAAAAGTTTATCTTATATAAGCACATTGTTCTGCAATAAGCTTGAGAGTTGGATCAGACGATAAGCAGCTTCATCCCTGACTTGGCTTCTAAAGGGACCAATTTAGGTATGGGCTTTGACTGCCTCTCTGCTCCAAGCTGCGGATCATCTTCGACACCCCCCTCCCCTTCACTAAATAGAAAAAAAAAGGAATCCTTCAAGTGGCTCCCGATGAAGGGGGGACAGGGAAGGTTATGGGTTGACACTGACCACCAATTCACTTTAGTTGACACATCGAGGGACTGGTCCCCAAATTCTGTAGAGACCGAGGAAATCTCACCAGCTTTGGTGGAACTTGACATAGTTTTCCAATTTCAGCAAGTAATGTTAAGTTCTATTATGTTCATTCATCAATTTAATCAATTTTTAATGGTTCATCAACTTTTATATACTTCACTTTTTTGAAAAAATGTTACATTTTTCTTTATATTTTCCCACCCATCTCGGCATGTTTCTTCTTCTTCTTCTTCTTCGGGGAATGCTATCATGTTTGAATTTGCACAATTCAAATGACGAGATGAATATATATTATTGTATGAATTTGCATGTACATTTTGTCAGATTCAAACAAGGTATTAGGGTTACACTATGTAACATTAATCTTCAAATCAACATTAATTTAAAACTATTTTATTATTTGCAAGATTTGTGAACGAGAAATAAGTCAATATGATAAATAAATAAAATTAGCATAAAAATTAAAAATTAAAACCAAATTGGGCTATGGTAATAAAATTGAGTTACAACTGCAATTTTCTATATGTAACTAAACAGTAGAACCATATGTTTTTTAGTTATAAATAATAGTTAAAATGATATTTATGTCATAACTATTTTCCTATATATATATATATATAGATATATATATATTATATCAATGACGGGATTAAAAATTTATTTGTAATTTAATGTGATTATTTACGAAATATTACTAAATATATCTTTATTTTTCAAAGTTTTTAATGCAATCAATGATATTACATAGTTTTTGTCCGACTCATGTTCGTCAGGCGCAATATAGTGCCCCAAAAGCTGGACTGAAGATAGTGGTGGACAACCCTTAAAGCTGAGAAGTCGGTTTCTGTGAAAATTTAAACCCAATTGTACTAGAATTACTTATGCTCTTGTACCTAACTGAACACGCAAGCTACAAACATTTGAATAATGAACCCCTAATCTAATGCTGATGGTTTGCCTTTGCTTGCTGACAGTGGTTTCCAGAAAGGACGTCACTAGTGCTGACTTGATGTTTTGATTCTCAGTTGCTTTATAGTTTGTGATTTAAAGCCTTCGAGTGCCTGAGCTGTTCCACCATATGTACTCTTCTTCTTCTTCTTTTGGGGAATAGAATTTGTGTGATTTTAAACTATTGCTTGATCGTGCAGTTCCAAGTTGACACAATGGAGAACCAGCGAGGACATGGATCGTTCATGAATGGTTTCCCTCAAGATCTTCCACCTCTTTTCAAACGCATAACAGCTGATGGAGTAGTGGGTTTTGATGCCAGTTTCAGTTCACGAAGAGATAGTAATGTAAGTATAGAAAACGTTTTTCGATTCTAACCTATAAAATGTTTGAGAAATATATAAAATTTTCCTATGTTTTATTATAGGGAACAGAGGTTGCACATAACTGTGACAACCCAGCCATTGCCGGCATCCAAAAACCAAGTTTTTTCCTTCCAGGCGCAGCCGAAGCCCACAATCGATCACATTCTGTTTCATTTGGTTTTCAAGGCGCACCCTCCGCTCTGTGCATTGACCGATCGAAAATAGACATATTAATTTACAATTCTGATGCAATAGTAAGCGATGAGAGACTTTATCATTCATCAGAGATTCATTCTTCTAGCTTCCCGCAAAAAAAGCAGACAATGTTCCACTCGCAACGGATGCCCGTTGACTTCCCTTCTGTCGAGAAATTTGAGCAGGTTTTGCCGAGCGGGGAAATATTCGAGGACGAAAGCTACGATTGTTTCAGGACATGGTCTGGGAAACTCGAAAATCGGATTTCAAACCTGCACAGAAAGCCGCAGGATCAGGCGAAGATTCATGATTCTCATGATACAGAATTTGAGGCTTTACCTTCAGTCGATCGGTACTATGATGCCTTTGAAGCTCCAGAATTGGAAGTACTAAAGGTAATCAATTTCAGATTGTGATTCTATTTACGTGCAGTATTTACATTTGTGGATGGATCATATTGAGATGATTTCTACTCGATCAAGAATTCTAAAGCTATGATTTTTTTCTGCTATTTTAGGCAGGAGAGGAGTTGGTTCTGCCGGCAGACAAGACATGGCCTTTCCTCCTCCGCTTTCCTGTATCCTCTTTTGGAATGTGCCTTGGTGTGAGCAGCCAAGCAATGTTATGGAAGACATTTGCCAAATCATCATCCCTGAGTTTTCTGAACGTAAGCACGGATGTTAATCTGGTCCTCTGGTTCATCGCACTTGCATTAATTGTCTTAGTGGCAACCATCTATTCCTTAAAGATAATATTTTACTTCGAAGCTGTTAAAAGGGAGTACTTCCATCCAGTCAGAATCAACTTCTTTTTCTCTCCATGGATCGCCTGCCTTTTTCTAGCCATTGGAGTTCCACAACAGGTCACAAAGAACCTTCCTTGTTCCTTATGGTATGTGCTCATGGCCCCCATCCTGTGTCTGGAGCTCAAAATATATGGCCAGTGGATGTCAGGAGGTGAAAGAAGGCTTTCGAAGGTTGCAAATCCATCAAATCACTTGTCCATTTTGGGGAATTTTGTTGGGGCTTTGTTAGGCGCATCTATGGGGCTGAAAGAAGGGCCAGTGTTTTTCTTTGCGGTTGGTTTGGCACACTACATTGTGCTATTTGTGACTCTATACCAGAGACTTCCAACAAACGAGGCACTGCCGAAGGAGCTTCATCCAGTCTTTTTTTTATTTATAGCTGCGCCTAGTGTTGCTTCCATTTCATGGGCCAAGATTAATGGCAGTTTTGATCTGGGTTCAAGGATTGCCTTCTTCATTGCGATGTTTCTCTATGCTTCTCTTGTAAGTTCCTCTTCGGTTGCTTGTTTTAGATCAGAGTTGATACAGTCAGTGCTAATGAGGGGTGTAAGTGAGTCAAGCCGTCTCTTAAGTAGGCTCGAGCCAGCCCCAAATCGACATGTTAACTCGTGAGCCGGCTCATTTAATAAAATATTAACATAAAATATACTCAAAATATAATAAATTTGATGGTATTATATTTAAAGTATTAAAAATATTTAAAAAATAATATTTTATATTTTATATTAAATATTTTTTTATTATTCACTTCAAATTATTTATTATTTATTATTTTATCATAACACTACCTTAAATTAATAATTTTTTCTTTCTTCTATAATAAACAAAAAGCATGCTAAACTTGTTAAAACTAATCAAGTCAAATCGAAGGTTGCTTTATTTAACTCGACTCGACTCGTCTACACTTCTAGTGCTTATCAATCAATTAATGATGATATATTCCTCAACTATCGATATAACAACCACTCCCTATCTCTGTACATATTTTGCAGGCTGTTCGCATCAACTTCTTCCGAGGATTCAGGTATCTTCAAACAAACCCTACCTATTCAATTTCATTCAAAAAACTTGAATCACCAATCATTTATTGTCCTGCATCTTGCCCAATATAGGTTCTCACTTGCTTGGTGGGCATACACGTTCCCCATGACTGGAGCCGCCATTGCAACAATAACCTACACAGCTGAAGTCAGCAATGCCATCACAAAAACTCTTGCCATTACTCTCTCCACCATCTCTGCTGTCACAGTCTCAGCTCTTCTGGTCTCCACCATCCTCCATGCATTTGTGTTCCATAACCTTTTCCCCAACGATAGTGCCATTGCCATCTCATATAAAAGACCCAAATTGAGAAAGGAGCAGTTTCATCCTTGGACACGAAGTTCAGAAGGAAGAGACAATGAATCTGTCTAAAGTTAGTGCAGTACCATGAATCTGTCTAAAGATTTATGAAGTTTGGTTTCTAAGTGCAGGGATTCAGAAGTGAATATTGCAGTATGGTAAGTGGGAAGTCATGCTGGTGAATGCATGTTTTAGGAGATGGCTACTGTGGAGGATGGTGGCTCAACTGTATCGCATAAATAATAATAATAATCATAAGAAAAAGAGAACATAAATAATAAGCAGTGGCTCCACTATGTAAGATGGGGCAGATGCAACGTGTCAGAGGATTAACCTGCAAAGCTTTATGATTGAATTATTATAAATACTTCAGATTAGAGATCTTTTTCATATCCATTTATTTATTTTCATACCATTTTTTAAATTAAAAAAAAATTACCTATTTATTATCTTATTAAGTTCAAAATTTGATGAAGCCTATATATATATATATATATAATTCTCACGTGCCTCAAGCCGTGGCCTGTTGGTTGGCGGGGTTCACTGTAAGTCCCCTCAGGTCACGTGTTCGATCTCCAGTGACGCTGAGTTCTCGAATACTTAAGCATATGTGTTGGCTCTCATCATAGGGCTAACACATGGAAAATCGGCATTTGGGTCTCTGCCAAAATATAGATTTTCCTTTCAATATATATATACATATAATTTTACTAAAAGCAATTCATAATATTTAGTGAATTTAAAATATTTTTTAAATTTATATATGTTAATATTTATATGATATGCTAATAAATTTATTGTTCTAATAACATACACACTGTTTTTTTTTTTTTTTTTAATAACGTAACACACTATTTAATGATTATACAATGAACAAAAATTAATGGAAATTGTTTATTCGCAAACCGACCCACTATTAAAAACTGGAAATTTCACTAATCAAAACCTATATTCAAACCACTAATTTCAAAATTGAATCAAATCGTTCAAAAAATGATTAATTTTAATTTTTTTTTTAACATAATAATATACACCTTTATCCTATATGTAGCCTAAAGATGTCAGAGAATTAGGCTTACAAGAGCACATGGCTAGGGCTGATGTATGTTATGCATGGGGTAAATAATAAAGGTCAAACTATAGCCTACAAATGCTGAGACTATCTCCTGCTGATGCTTGAAATTAGAAGGTCAACCCTTATTTTCTTAACTCGGTGTCGTCCCGCTTAAATTTGATAGATACCTATTTTTTTAACCTAAAAGCTCATTAAATAACACACACACATACTTACATATATAAGCCAATTAAAATTCATAACAAAAGAATGAGGGTTTTATATTGTAAATTTGTCCATAGATCCTTCAAATGGTGAATATATATATATATATATAAAAGAGAACTCATTTCTACGTGGAAAACCCGAAAAAAGGAAAAAAAAAATCATGAGATCTAGCGCATAAAATAATTTGCTATGCTAGTTGAGAGTACAAATGTTAGCTCTTCCTCCTAGTTGAAGAAGACATAGTTATAAAACAAGACACTAAGCTCTAGTTCCTCCTTTGATGAGTATGACGGGAGTATTGGAGGTGAAAATGATGGTCAAATAATATAAATTAGATAATAGTGACTACAATCAGAAAATGGTGGTCATATAATGATGGCCTAGTGATGATTATCAGATAATGGTAGGTGAGCAACAGTAGATAAATGATTTAGTCAGATGATGGCAATTGTTGGTGGTAGTCAGTGTTAGTCATTAAATTGTGCTTCATAATTTCTCAAAAATTTTAACATATCTCCAAACTCAACTTTAGGTCTCCATTTATGCGGAGGATAAGAGTCTATATATAATTTCTTAGATGACATTTTGCTAAATCTAGAAAAAAATCTAAAACATTTTATCGTAGAGCTCATGTTAATTCCTTCGATCATAGACTAATAACTTAACATATAAGTGCCTTAAATATCTTAGAATTGAGTGATATTGTACTGATTGGGTCACTTTTATCAAAACACTCAATTTAACGATAAATATGCAAGGTTCGAACACATTTTTTTCTTCAAATAATGCTCTAATGTTTCTAAACATACTTCAGACGGTTGATTTAGGCTCATTCGAGCTTGGATTGGATCATTTGCTATGCTGCTGTGTTCGTCTAGTTGAAATACTCAATTTATTTATAAATTTGCTAAAATCTATAGTTGTAATGCTGAACTTGATTGAATTTGAAAGTTATTTCATCTCAAAAGCTTCCGCTGACATAAATGAAAGAAGAATCAATATTTATTCTGGTCAACTTGTATATCAATTTTTAAGGATTTGTTCAAATTTTATCAATCAGCTAAAGCATGAATTGCTGTCAAAAGAGCCCATGGGCCAAGTAACACACTCTACTTGGCCCATTACTTATATGTTAACTTAGAAAATCACAATTTCCTTTTAAGAAAAAAAAAAAATTCAAACTGACTTTGAAGAAACATGTCATAAGTCGAGTTGAACTTGAGTCTCTACGAGTTCAAGCTGACTTATTTATTATAAAAAGAGAAAATAATATTAATTTAAGAGAGAAATATTAAAAAATCACTTAATATTAAATATAATATTTTACATTAGTTTTTTTTTTTTTTAATGATCTGGCTCATAAGCTAACTAGTTGAGTCGGGGCTAGCTTGCGCGTTGCTTGTTAGCTCTTCGAGCAGTTCACGAGCCACTGATCGAGCCGAGAACGAGCGGGCACACAAGTCGGTCTAACTCACTTACACCTCTAATTTGAATCAACCAAACGAGCGTGATTCAATTTGATTTTTTTATTTTGATAAAATAATGCACACCCATACCAACACCAACTTGAGCACCATAAAAATATCATATTGTTGTTTAGTTAGTAAACTAGTTCTCCAACACCCATAATTTTTTTTTATATAATTTAAGAAAGTTTAATACTCTCGAAACACCCATCTATTATTGGAGAATGCATTTTATATTGCAATTTATTGATAATTTGATTTTTTTCATCAAAAATATCACATAGAAAATAGTAATTAGTATAGTGAAGCAAGCTTCATATAAATACAACATGTAACATACATACTATTAATAGGGTTCAAATAATAGTTTTATTAGTTCAATGATTATTCTACTACTTGAACGATCGTATATATAATCAATATGATATGTTCTTGCATCAAATATTTGATATATTATCATTACTGAAATTTTGAAATATTTACATGTATGCCACTCAATTCTTATGTATTTACATACTAACACCAAAACTTCAATTGCCACATACATGCCACATTACCTATGCATAAAAATGTATATTGTTCTTTTTAAAGAGGTAAAATGGTTGTATTTTCTTATGTAATACGTAATATTTAGATGGTTTAGATCTAAAAATCAAAATTTTGACGTTAAGTATGTAAATAAATTAGAATTGGGTGGTACTTATTTAAATGCCCCAAAAATTTAATATTTTGTGCTATTTTTATTATTGGCGACTACACTATAAATAATTATTTAATAAATTTTACCATACTAAACTTCACTAGACCGGACGGTGCCAAATTGCCGGGGTCATCCTAGGAGTGCAATTAATGTGAAATGACCATCATCTTCTTCCATTCTGCCATTAATACAAAAAGAATATGCATCACATCAACTGTTAATCACAAACTCAACTGTGTTTTCAGCCTTAAGAAAAAAAAAAAAAAACATTCTCCCCACGTAATTTCACCATCCAATCTTTCTCATCTTTCTCCGATCAATCAAAAACCATTAAATCATCCATACATCATTCCAAAAAACTCACCTTTAAATCAAAATCCAGCAACAAAATCCAACCCAAAAAGAAAAAAAAAAAAAAAAAAAAGGCCATCTTCAACCTCTCCTCCACAATATCAACCACAGAATCACCAAAGGCAAAAGATATCATCTTTAATGTTGATAGATACTCTGCCTCTCACGAGAGAGACACCAATGGACACCATGGCTTCTTTGGTCCCCAATTCATTCATGAATACAGTATAAATTGTAGGAGAGATATAATGGACGGGAGGAATGTAGATAAAGAGCGCTTGTTTATCAACTTGCTCGTTAAGGATAGTGAGAGCGCCAAAAGAGAACAAAATTGGGAGCAGATGAAAACAAGCAGCTAGCTTTTTCATTGTTCCCCTCTCCTTCACTTCCCATGTGGCCAATTTCGCTGCCAACTTTCGCCCTGCTTCATATGTTTTGAATCTTTCTGAAGACAAGGAGCAGGGCCTTCGTTTTCATGTTCTCTTACTCTGTTTTCTTGTGCAGGACTCGAGGTATCATCATAAATGCTGATGGCTGCATGCGTAAATGGCATCCTTTTTTTCTTCTTTTTTCGCTTCATTATTGTTTGGAGTCATGATAGCGGTTTAAAGGTGTTTCATGAATCAAATTTTTAGGGGAGAAAAAAAGAAAAATAGAAATGATATGTTTCTCGTGGTTGGCAAATGTGCATTGTTGTATGCAATACGTGCCTCTTGTTGTAGAAACGTCGCATTTCTTCTATTACTTCTATGGGATCATTATGGGACGTTTATATATTACTTCTGCGCATAGTGGTTTGATTTAAATATTCAAATTTGAAGAAGAGTGAGTAATTTATCAATTGATTTTTTCTTTCTAAAATTCTATCTTTTAGGATTTATTAGCGTTAGAATGCTGAGGGTAGTTGATTGGCATGTTCATCATTATGTTTTATTACTAATTATTAGCCTCCAAATTAAAAAGAAACTCAAGTCATGCTTGCTTAAAATTTAATTTGAATGCTTGCTAGTTGATCCTAATGTATGATTATAAGGATGTGGTACAATCAATTCAAAATATGATCGTAATCTTTAGTTGATTAAAAATAGGTGTTTCTTTAATAAAATTAGAAAATTAATCATCAATATGATGTTAATCATATGATTTGTTTAATTTTTGAATTAATTAACTAATTCAAATTGATCTTGTTGATTTATTTCATTATGGTTCAAGAATTAGTATTAGCTATTAGTTATATATTTAATTAGGAAATTAAGGAATTTGAACTAATTTAGATTGAGTCAAACCTAATCACATAGTATGATTAATTTTGATTATCAAATTTAGCTTACAATTGACTTGGTTAAATTTAAATCTTAGTTATGAGTGAACACAAGTCATTTTAATATGTGCCCAACACTTGAAACTATAATAATTTTTGGCTCAGAATAAAGAAAATAATGACAATTAAGTTCTCTTACACTGATCCGGCCACCGACTTAATTTTCTTCAATATGTCAGTCTCTTGACTTTATTTTTAATTTTAAACTTAACCTGAAGTGATTTTAGCCAAATTTTATATTAAAATTA